GAGTGGCCACTGCACTCCAGTCTAGGCGACAGAGTGAGACTCCAAAAAAAAAAAAAAAAAAGAAAAAGAAATATATTCAATGAACAATAAAAGGGGAAAGGAAACTAGAAAGATTGGTTTTGAGTTGGCCAGGCAGATGGCAGTGAGGAAGGGCAATGCTAGCCACATATTCAAATGCAGCATGAAAGAATGAGACAGTATGATTGATTCTGGGCACATTTGCTTAGGATAGCTGTGTTACAGGCAACATGTGGGAAGAGTTGAGAGCTGAAGCTGGAAAGGTAGGATAGGATCAGGTCCAAGGTCCTGAATGCCAGGCTAAGTATCACAAATTCAGTCCCAAAATTCATTGGAGCTGGGCATGGTGGCTCACACCTATAATCCCAGCACTTTGGGAGGCGGAGGCAAGAGGATTCCCAGCTACTTGTAAGGCTAAGGAAGAAGGATTGCCTGAGCCCAGCAGGTCAAGGCTGCAGTGGCTGTGAGCATGCCACTGCACTCCAGCCTAGGTGACAGAGTGAGACTCCAACAAAATTAATTTTTAATTCAAAAAATTTTTTAAAATTATTTTTAAATAGAATCATTGGAGCCAGGGAGTAATAGGGGCAGATTTGTTAGAATTCTAGTGGCTGGTGTGAAGACTAGACTGGAGGAGACAGAGGGACCAGTGGAGCAGCCAGGGCTATAGTGCAAGAGAGATGAGACCCCAGCTGGTTGGGGGCTGCAGTGAGGCAGGTGGGCATTTGAGATCTCTAGCAGGGCTCTGCAGCCCTCCCCCATGTCTTCTGTAACAGCCATCCTCCCCTGTAGGTCAGATCCTGACGCGGCTGGTGGAGGAGAAGGCCCCTGCTTGTGTGCTGGAGCTGGGCACCTACTGTGGATACTCTACCCTGCTTACTGCCCAGGCCCTGCCCCCTGGGGGTCGCCTTCTCACTGTGGAGCGGGACCCACGCACGGCTGCAGTGGCTGAAAAACTCATACGCCTGGCTGGCTTCGATGAGCGCACGGTCAGCCTCCCATCTCCCCAACACTGATCTCTTTTCTGTTAGCCCATGCCTTACCCTAGCCAGGCCTCCCTATGAGGGACTCCCCTCAGAAGAGAAGGAAACAGCTCCACTTAGGGGACTGCAATCCTGAATGGTGTGTGAGCTCCCGCCCTTCTGTCCTAAGTCATTTGCACATATTTTCTGCTGGATGATAAAAGAAGTAGCTGAGAGGAAGGTCTCTGGAGCCCAGCAAATCTGGGTCCGGATCTTACTCTGCCTCTTGTTAGCTGTGTGACCTTGAGCAAAGCTCAAATCCTCTGAATCTCAGCTTCTTCATGGGCAGAATGGAAATCACAATATTGATCCTGACTTTTTGGGTTCTGAGGTCAGAGGAAATGGGCAAATACTTGTGGGGACCTGGGCCAGGGCCTGGCATGAAGTAAGCCAGATACTGGGGTGGTCTGGAGTAGAAGAATCACCTTCAGCTCCCCCTACTGCCACAGGTGGAGCTCATTGTGGGCAGCTCAGAGGAAGTGATCCCACGCCTACGAACCCAGTACCAGCTGAGACGGGCAGACCTGGTGCTCCTGGCACACCGGCCTCGATGTTACCTGCGGGACCTACAGCTGCTGGAGGCCCATGCCCTACTGCCAGCTGGTGCCACTGTGTTGGCTGACCATGTGCTCTTCCCTGGTGCACCCCGCTTCTTGCAGTATGCCAAGAGCTGTGGCCGCTACCGCTGCCGCCTCCACCACACTGGCCTCCCAGACTTCCCTGGCATCAAGGATGGCATAGCCCAGCTTACCTACGCTGGGCCAGGCTGAGGCCCAGGCCTGGGGGTACTTACTGATACTCACTCCCAACCCCAAGGACCTCAGAACATCCCCTCCCCTCCCTGTTTGGGGCCTGATACATGCTGGGCTTAGGGGTTGGGAGGCTCTCTTCCCATCCCTGCTCCTCTCTGGCCTTCACACTGGGGTAAGTGTCAAATTATATCAGGCTGCTTGGTCTCACTGGTGTCCCTCTTCCAGAGACAGCCATGGATTGACAGCAAGAGGTCTGAGCTCCCAACCTAGCTCTATCACTGATTTGCTAAGTGACTCCAGGGGAGTCCCTGCACTGCTCTGAGATTTAATCTGCCCTCTTAATGTTAAGGAAGCCGGCTGGGAGAGCTCCAGGGGCCTCCCAGCTGTGGGCCTTAGAAAGCCTCCCTTCCCCAGCCCATGCCCTTCTGGGTGAGATCAGTGAAAACATTAGACAATGAGTTAGAGGCTCCTGCAGGAATTGCTGGGTGCAAGCTGGGCCAGAGGAAATGGCACAGAACCCTAAGCCCAGGGCCAGGGACACCCTGGCCTGCCCCAACTCTGGCCTGCCTAGCCAATTAAGTTTGCCTGATGTCCGTTGTGAGTGCCCTCTCCCCAAAGCCCAAGAGAAGCTGAACTCCTCTAGGTCCCACCAACAAAGAGGAAATAGACAGGGGGGGAAAAATCAGTCCTGTGTCTTTATTAAAGAGAGTCAGAAAGAGACCAGACCCGGCGACCAAGGGTGAGGTACTGGCCAGGAGGGTGGCATGGCCTCAGGCCCTGGGGATTCAAGAGCAGACGGCTGGCCTGGGAGGGGCCGAGGAGATCAGGTCCTGGAAGCAGCTGAGGAGGTGCCCCAGGACACTCTCAGGCACTGGGGCCATGGGCCGGTTCTGTGGGCAGGGGTTGGGGGGCAGGACGCAAGGTAGGTTGGGCTGGCCTGGAATCTCCCTGAGGCCACCCTGCCTTGCCTACCTAGATCATCCACTGGTCCTGATCCTGTTCGTTGCCTTCCATGTCCACCTGGAGAGGAGGCTGGGTGTAGGTGGGAAGGGGCCTCGGCGGCCTCAGTCCCAGATCCTGCTCCTGGCTGGGTTCAGGGTTTCTGCAACCCTTGGCCTTCGGCTGGGGCAGGAGCGGAGGCCAGGAACAAAGGCCTGCCCTCCCCCACCTACCTCATTGACCTCTCCATCGTCAGGCGACTCGTTGTAGTCATTCATCTCATCCATGTCCTGCATGTCCTCATCATCCTCTGAGTCTTCTTCACTGTCCTCCTCATCTTCGTCATCTTCCTCTTCTTCATCATCATAGTGCTGGTGGGGCAGGGGAGAGCCTGTGAGCCCTACAGGCCTTCCTGGACCAGTCCAAGAGTTGGCCCAATCTGAGCCTCTCACTGGGTCCTCCGGATGGCCCCTACTGCCCGACCCTGCCCCCCTTAGTGTAACAGGCTGGTGCATGTATGTTCTTCAGGGCCTTAGTGCCAGGCCTCTGTCTCCCCTTTCTCGCTTCCACCCAGAGCTGAGAACCACAACTGCTTCCCTTTCTCACCTCCACCCAGAGCTGAGAACCACAACTGCTCTGGGCCAGGGGCAAGACATTCAGAATGAGAGTAAAGCCTTGGTCCACCCTGGGCCCCATAGAGGGCCCACTTGCCACAGCCACTCACCTCTGAGGCTGGCTTGCCAATGGGAACCAGGTTGTTGTCTTTCTCTGCGATGCTTTGGAGCTGTGGGCAAAGGAGTGGAGGAGCAGGGCCAGGACCCAAGCAGAGCAAGTCAGGGTCATGGAACTTGCCCACTCTGCCCCCAGAAGACCCACAAGTATAGGGGAGCAGCTATCTCCTAGTTCTCAGGAAGATATGTCATCTGTCACTTATGAACTCAAGCCAACTATTTAAACCCTCTGGGCCTTGGTTTACTCATATAATTATAATGAGGATGAAGTGAAAAACTTATCAGTCTAGAAAATGTCATCTGCTAGCTCCTCGATAAATAGTCAAAATTATTATTTCCTAGGCCGGGCTCGGTGGCTCAGCCTGTAATCCCGTGCTGTGGGAGGCTGAGATGAGTGGATTGCCTGAGCCCACGGGTTCAAGATCTGCCTGGGCAACTTAACGAGACCTCATCTCCACAATAAATCAAAAAAATCAGCCGGGCATGGTAGCGCATGCCTGTAGTTACAGCTACTTGGAAGGCTGAGGCGGAAGGATCGCCGGAGCCCAGCAGGTCGAGGCTGCGGTGGCCGGGAGCGGCCACTGCACTCCAGTCTGGGTGACAGAGTGAAACTCCTATTCAAAAAAAAAAAAAAATTATTATTTCCTATACTTTAGGGAGAAAAGAATTTGGGCTCAGTGTCAGGAGCCCAGGCTCTAACCTGGCCCAGAAGTCCCATGGTCGCCCTGTAAATCCCCCTGTAAATTAGGGTACTACGAAGATGAGAACCTTGGCCCCCGGACTATTTCACGCTCAGGACAAAAAGCTCTTCCAAGGCAAGACTCCAGAGTAAGGCAAAGTGGATGAGGTCTCTGAGTATGCTGTGCTAGGTCCTCACTCACCCAAGCCTGGTGCTGCTGTTCCTGCTGCTGCAGCTCTGTCTCTTCCACACAGGGTCGATCCAGATTAAACCACAGCGTCTCAGTTACACGGGGGAAGAGTGAGGGGAACAAGGTAGACATGGCTCCTAGACTGATAAAAAGGGCCAAGTGAATGTGTTTTGTTTTGGTTTGCTTTTTATTTTGTTGTAACTTAAGGATGAAGTGGAGGGGAAGGTAGCAGGGAAACAGCCCTTCCCTCTAGAAATCAGACCTGGGTTTGTGTCCTGGCCCCACCATTTACTAGTTGTTTGACTTTGGCCAAGTCACTTAAACTCTATGGGCCTCAGTTTTCACATCTGTAAAATGGGGATAATAACAATTATACCACTCTCAAAGTTATTCTGATAATTAAGTAAAGTCATGGATAAATAAAGCTGTATGTAGGCTATTTAAGGAGGGACAAGAATGGAAGCCAAGTGTAGGCAGGAATCTAGAATGCAGACAGGCATTATGAAACTATGCAAAATTAGAGGTAGACGTTCTAGCCGGGTGCAGGTGGCTCATGCCTGTAATCCCAGCACTTTGGGAGGCGGAGGGGAGAGGACTGCCTGAGCCCATGGGCTCTAGACCAACCTGGGCAACTTGGTGAGGCCTCCTCTCTACAATAAATTAAAAAAATTAGCGGGGCGAAGTGGCATGTGCCTGTGGTTCCAGTTACTTGAAAGGTTGAGGCGGAAGGATCACCTGAGCCCCGCAGGTCGAGGCTGTGGTGGCCATGAGTGTGCCACTGCACTCCAACCTGGGCAACAGAGAGTGAGACTCCGACTCAAAAAATAAAGTGAAATAGAGGTAGAGTTCCACTGAGGTTGTTTGTTTTTGGTTTTGTTTTTTTGTCCCTTTATTATGGTCCATGACACACCCAGCCAGTGTCAGAAAATTTAGGACACTAACTACCTCTCTCAAGGATCACAGCCAAACTGGATGAGAGGGTACCATGTGCAAGCAGGGTTCACTAAGACATTCGAGAAGGCAAGAATAAATGGGATAAATAAGTAGTTGGAAGACTTAATGGTTTAACTAACATGTAACAAATGAGCAGCTGAGGGAGCTAACCAGGAAGATCCCAGATAATCGAAATTTAAGCCCCCTCAGCCCACAGACAGGAAAACTGAGGCTCAAACAAAGGCAGTGACTGGCTTTAGGTCACACAGTGAGTTAGGGCTTAGAACTCCTGCGCGGAAGGGATCCAAGCCGGGCATTAGAGGAGATGAGGAGGAAAGGATTTCTGTCGAGTTCGGCTTTTGCCCTAACTTATTTGACAAATCCAGGGCCAGCCGCTGCTTTTCTCTGAGCTTCAGCTGCCCAGCTAGTGTAACAAGCACAAGAGCGTCACCCTCGTGTCCCGTAAGTACTGACAGGTCAGAGAGCTCGGCTCCGAAAGCCGGACCCACCACCGCGAAGCCACCGCCCATTCTTTGCTCATTACGATAATGACCGTGCGGTTGGCCAACAGGAAGAAAGCAGAGGCGGGACTCGGACAGAAATTTGCCCTTATAGGGTTGCTATTCGCAAAAAGAGCGGGGCCTGGGCAGGGCCAATTAGCTGAAAGAAAGACTGAGTGACAGGAGGTGGCGCCAATGAATGACGGAGCTAGTGTGACGGGGTGGGGCTTAGCCTCGAGGAAGCGGCCAATGAACTGGAGCTCTTTAAGGGTAAAGGACTCTGAACATGGAGCTCCTGAGGAGGCGGGTCAAAGGAACTGGGTTTCTCTGGGGAAAGAAGGAGACAAAGGGCAAGGAGGCGGCCGCAGCCCTGCTTCTGTACTTACCGCGCCGGGAGGCTGCAGCCGGCGGCGACCCGGAAGCGCTTCACCCAGCCCGGGCGGAAGAACCCACCAGAATCCGGGACTCACCAAACGCATGCGTCCTTCGTCTCTTTTTGTTTCCCGCTCCCGCCCACCATGACGGAAGTGACGAGACGTACCTTAGTCACGTTGTCGAGAGAGGAAATGCGCCGCGCGTACCTATCTGCCCCGCCTTGAGTCTCAGCCAATCGGCCTCTCCAGCTTGGCCCCGCTACAATGGTTCCAGTTAGCGGCCGCCTCTGTGTCCTCAAGCAATATCTACCCGTTAACCCTTTCTGAAAAAGAGCTGACAGCAAGTTGCGTTAGTACAGTGCCTGTTTGTCTTATTGTGTCTCAGGAAAATTAATCTGCGTCTATCCCAGAATCGCTGGTTGACTTTACGCCCCTCCTATCTGTGCCCTGTCCGCTTCGGTTTACCGTTTGAGCACATTTATTCTATTATACATATGCTTTGAACAAAAATATTTGAGTGCCTACTATGTTCCAGGTTCTGCTAGAAGCTAGGGATAAATCTATAAACATGGTCGCTATCCCGAAAGACCTCACAGTCCAGTGGGGAAGCCAAACCCTGCAGGCCCTCACTGGTCTCTTAAGGTTGCCAGTCCAGTTCTGATGCTGGAGATTATGTGCAGGCCTGAATGACTAGTCAGCCTCCGGGGGACTCAGCTGCTGAGGGACTCAGTTTCCCCTCCCCAGGCCTGGAGAGGTCAGATGACGCCTCTATTACAGTAACCTCTGACTCAGCCTCCCCTTCCGAGATCCTCATTCCTTCTGGAAACTGAGGTCTTTTTTTTGGAGTTGGAGTCTCACTCTCACCCAGACTGGAGTGCAGTGGCCGCTCCCGGCCACCGCGGCCTCGACCTGCTGGGCTCCGGCGATCCTTCCGCCTCAGCCTTCCAAGTAGTTGGAACTACGGGCGGGCACTACCACGCCCGGCTAGTTTTTGATTTATTGTAAAGATGAGGTCTCGCCAAGTTGCCCAGGCGGGTCTCGAACCCGCGAGTTCAGACAATCCACTCCTCAGCCTCCCAAAGTGCTGGGATTACAGGCTGAGCCACCGAGCCCGGCTTAACTGAGGTCTTTTAAACCCAACTGCCATTAAGCTCCATCACCTACCAGCCTCTTCCCAGTCCAGCAACCAACTACAGTGTCACTCCTGTCCCAGCCAGATGTGTAAAAATTGGCAAGTCCTTTCCCTCTGTCTAAACTGTTTCTTCTTCAACTGGCATCTTAATCTTTGCCTAGGCCTCCTCCTATCTTGGGCTGATGTGAGAATTGGATTAGGTAACAGTTGTTCAAGAGGTAGTGTGCTGTGCATTTGGAATATGATGCTGCCAAGCAGCTCTACTTGTTATAAAGATTTTATTAAAAAGTAAAATTTGTCTCTTGGAAGAGACCACCATTTTTCATTCATTCAACTAATACCTGTTGAGTGTCTTGGTATATGTCCATCACTATTCTCTTTTTTTTTTTTTTTGAGCGAAGTCTCACTCTCTCCCCCACACTGGGGTGCAGTGGCACACTCATGGCCACCGCAGCCTTGACCTGCTGGGCTCAGGTGATCCTACCACCTCAGCTTTCCAAGTAGCTGGAACTACAGGCATGTGCCACCACGCATAATTTTTCTTGTTTTCTTGTAGAGACGTCTCACCAAGTTGTCCAAGCTGCTCTCAAACCCCTGGGCTCAAGCAATCCTCTCACCTCGACCTCCCAAAGTGCTGGGATGACAGACATGAGCCACCATGTCCAACGTCCATCACTATTCTAAGTAGTGGATATCCACAGTGACCAGAACAGACCAAAAAGTCCCTCTCCTCTTGCAGCTTCCATTCTAATGAGAAAGATAAACAATAAAGAAGCTAAATTAAGTCGGGCTTGGTGGCTCAGCCTGTAATCCTGTGCCTTTAGGAGGCTGAGGTGAGTGGATTGCCTGAGCCCACGGGTTCGAGACCCGCCTGGGCAGCAAGACCTCATCTCTACAATAAATCAAAAATCAGCCGGGCGTGGTAGCGCATGCCTGTAATTCCGGCTACTTGGAAGGCTGAGGCGGAAGGATCGCCAGAGCCCAGCAGGTCGAGGCTGCAGTGGCCGGGAGCGGCCACTGCACTCCAGTCTGGGCAACAGAGTGAGACTCCAACTCAAAAAAAAAAAGAAGCTAAATTAAATATTTAGTTTTATTTAAATAGAGATCACACTAAATATTAAGCAGAAAAAAATCAGAGAGGTGGGAATAAAATGTTGGCAGGAGAGGTGTTTTGTTTTAGGTTGAAGAGACCAAAGAAATCACTAGGAAGGAAACTTTTGAGTAAAGATGTGAAGGAAAAGACAGCCTCCTGATATTTGGGGAAGAGCATTTCAGGGAGAGATCAAGTGCAAAATGGCTGAAGTATAGTGTCCTCTGGGGAGAGTAGTAGGAATTGACGACATAGAGGAACCACATACATGTGGCTTGCAAGTCATAATAAGGACATTGGCTTTTACCCCATATTGGATTGGGAAGCCAGTAGAGGACTGTGAGCACAGGATCCACACAATCTGATTTACTTTTTTGTTTGTTTTTTGAGTCGGATTCTCACTGTTGCCCAGACCGGAGTGCAGTGGCATAGCAGCCTTGACCTGCTGGACTCAGGCTATCCTTCCACCACAGCCTTCCACGTAGCTGGAACCACAGGTGTGCACCACCACGCCCAACTAATTTTTTGATTTATTGTAGAGACAAGGTCTCGCCAAGTTGCCCAGGCTAGTCTTGAATCCCTCGGCTCAGGCAATCCTCTCACCTCTGCCTCCCAAAGTGCTGGAACTGTGGGCGTGAGCCACTGCGTCCAGCCTGATTTACGTTTTTAACAAAGTTACTCTGGCTGTTCTATGAAGAATAGATTGAGACTAGGGGTGACAATGGCAGAAGCAGGGAAGTTGGTAGCCTATTATAATAATCCAGAGATAGTGGATGAGAAGTGGTTGAATTTTGAATACATTTAGAAGGCAGAGACAACAAAGTTTGCTGATGAATTGAACTTAGACTCTCGAAAGAAGAAAGGAGCCAAGATTTGTGGCCTGAACAATTGGAAGATTAGTGTTGCCATTTTTTGAGATAGGAAAAACAGGTTTTTTTGGGGGGGGGAGGAATATCTGGAGCTTAATTTGGGGTGTGTTGAATTTGAGATGCTCCTTAGAGTAGAGATGTTGAGGTGGCAGGAAGGCATATGGGTCAGGGGACATCTGGGCCAGATATATCAATTAGTAGTCATCAACGGGTAGATGGTGTTCAAAGCCATGAGACTGGATGAGATCACCAAGGGAGTGAGTGTAGATGGAAAATAATTTCCTCTAATATTTGGAATTTGAGGAAACTCGGGAAAACAGCAAACCAGATGGAGAAAGAAGGCCGAAACAATAAGTAGAAAACCTAGTGAGTTGGTGGTATCCTGGAAGCCAAGTAAAGAAAGGGTATTAGGAAAGAGAAAGTGATCTACTTCAGCCTACTTCTAGACAGAGTTGTGTTTCTATTTGTTTCCCAAACAGACCATGAGCTCCCTGAGGGAGGAACTAAATGGTTTCTGTGTCCCCAGGGCCCAGCCTGACTTCTTCTGGATTCCTATCTGTTCCTTCTGTGACCTGTATCTCCATCAGTCACTCCTCTTGCTTCTTTTCCTTACAGGATCCCTAACTTGGGCACCCTTGCCTCCCGTTCTTCCGGACAACTCTGACTGCTGGAAATTCCCCAGTAACCTAGAATTTCTTTCCAGGGTCCTCAGCCATGTTCAAACTTTGTTTGAAAAAAAAAGAAAGAAAAGAAAAATTAGCTGGGCGTGGTGGTGCGCGCCTATGGTTCCAGCTATTTGGAAGGCTGAGATGGAAGGATCGACTGAGTCCAGCAGGTCAAGACTGAGGGAGAGAGTGAGACTCTGGCTCAAAAAAAAAAAAAAAATCAATGTATGTAGAGAGTTTTGTGAGAGCACAGAGGCGGGAGAGATGAATGGGCTCTGAACAAACTAAGTTTAACTTTTTGTTCCAGAGAAGGAAACATTTGAGTGGGTCTTGAAGGATGAGTAGAAGTTAAGCCTTAGTCTATTGAAAGAAGAAAGGAGCCAAGGTAGCTGGGCTCGGTGGCTCAGCCTGTAATCTCATGCCTTGGGAGACTGAGGTGAGTGGATTGCCTGAGCCCGTGGGTTCGAGACCCGCCTGGGCAACTTGGCAAGACCTCATCTCTACAATAAGTAAAAAAATCAGCCGGTGGTAGTGCGCTCCTGTAATTCCAGCTACTTGGAAGGCTGAGGCGGAAGGATCGCCCAGCAGGTCGAGGCTGCGGTGGCCGGTAGCGGCCACTACACTCCAGTCTGGGTGACAGAGTGAGATTCCAACTCAAAATAAATAAATAAATAAAAAGAAAGGAGCCAAGGTTTGTGGCCTGAACAATTGGAAGATTAGTGTTGCCATTTTTTGAGATAAGTGGGAAAAGTGGATGTGCAGATAGGTATATTACAGTCAAACGCACAGAATTGAAGCAGATTATGTGTTTGGAGATCAGTGAGAATCCATTTGAGCAGAATGAGATGTCTGGGGGTGGGGGGTAAAGAGAGAGATAAGAAAGAATGCTAGGAAACCTAGATGGGGAAGGGTCTTGGTGGCACTGACATGGATGGTGGGATGGGCACTGGGCATCTTGGGTTTCACCTTGGCCTTGCCAACTTGGTGGAGACCCCAGGTAGATGCCTTCCCATCCATAAGTGTCTGTTTTCTCTAACGCAATATTTTAGCCATGTCTCCAACACTGATGTGAGTTCCTGGAAACTATTCCTCCAGCCTGGCCCTTTCTGTTCTAAGAGTTTCCCTACCGCTACTTTGTATTTTATGCAAATAAAGGCCTAGGAACTGAATGCAGGGTCAGGACTTGGATTTCCCAATAGAAAGAAATAAGTCCAGAGTGCATAAACGAGATGGAAACCCATGACTCTATACAGAGAATTCACCAGGATCCAGGAAGGGCCAGAGTTGAGCGGTGTGAATTCTGTGCCAGCGAGAGCAGCTTATTCATTCCAAAGGCCTTGCAGAGCATAGCTAGCCCTGGTAGGGGGCAGAGGAAAGTGTC